AGCAGAGCGTAGTGCTTATGTCTATGATGCATTAGTGACGTATTTATTAATAATTGAGTATATTAAAAACAATGTTGAAGTGACAATATTCTTTGTTTAAAATTTAGTTGATTATAATATATTTTAGGGTTGACGCCTTCAAGAAGACGTATAGGGCTGAAGGGTTCCTAGGAATGTACCGAGGATCCGCCGTTAACATTCTACTGATTACTCCGGAAAAAGCCATCAAGTTAGCAGCTAACGATTTTTTCAGATACAACCTTCAAACTAAAGACAAGTGAGTAAAATTTTGTATCTATGTATTTATGATGCATTTAATCCAATATGTTCGTGAGTGGTTTAAAAATGTTTAATATGGTTAAGAAAACTAAAGATGGAGAACAATTAGAGAGACTTTTTTTAAGTACTGGTTAGTAATATAGTCAGATTGCCTTTTGTAAAGTAGATAATTTCGTTAGATTGTTATATAGTATTTAAGAAAAATCGAAGAAGCGTGAAAATCGCATTTAAGAATTTGGGTTCTTTTTTGAGCCGGGTCTGACACTTAACCAGTATTTTAGAAACTTAGTTACTCAGTATTTTCAAATACTTAGATTTATCACAAGATTTTTTTTGTATTAAAGTAAATATAAGGGAATATTTCTTGCTCTATAGTGTGACCAATTTTAAGAAAATAATTGTATAGAAATTCCCATCATATTGCCAATATTTATTAGACAACGTGCTCAGAAGAAAAAAATGAGATGTAGTGGGTTATACAATCAGTTTGGTTCTCGGTCGCTGCACGCTAAGTTTAAATACCTTTTAGCGCTTCTTGTGATTGGTCCTGTGCGTAGAGTGGGCGGGGTCTTCTCGCTATTTTAATTTCTACGTTTTTCTGCAGAATTGGTTTCCACGTATTAGGGAGTTTTTGGGCATCATCTCTGGTATTTGAATTTTTTGGATGTTTTTCGATCTCTATGGCTTACCTGATTACACGTTTGGCCTTATTTTCGATGTTGGCTAGTATTGTTCCGTTTTAGTTTATTTTGTGTCCTGTGTTTATGGCAAGTTGTGCTAGGGATGAAGTCTTCTCTTTTCTTACCATGTTGTTTCGATGTTCTTTGCGTCTAACTTGTATCCTTCGATTTGTCTGTCCGATGTACGAATTATCGCAGTCCTTACACGGGATTCTGTATACACCTTGATTTTCCAATGCAACTTTTGTTTTTGCTGATGGTAATATGGTGGCGATTTTTTCTGTCGGTGTTAAAAATAGTTAATATTTTGTTTTTTCTTAGCACTCTGCTGATTTTGTCTTTCGGGCCCTTCATATAGGGCAGGATGGTTTTTCCGACTGGTTTTTCTTCTTTTTGTGGATCTTTGCTTTTGTTTCGAGATTTCTGTGCCTTTTCTAGCAAACCAACAAAATTTGGTACCTTTCTGCCACTGAATGCCTAAATGAAACTGTTTTCCAAAATAAAGGGTTTAATCACCACTCAATATCTTCGTTATCAGCTTCCACCAATTTAAAATATTTTTCTTCTCAATAGCATTTATAAATCGGCAATATATTCTTCTTTATTGCTTTCTTGTTTATTCTTCTTTCTAATAATCTTATTTTTTCTTCTTCCTATCTCCAATCACCATATAAATATTATAATTTTAATTTCTTCTAATCTCCGTATACATAATATAATTTTTAATCTCCAACTAATACTCTAATAATACAATTTTTTCAATCTTCATGTAATATACTTTCCAAAATATTATAAAACTTTCATACTAAATCACTGTCTTCTGTATACTGATTTGACGAACAAATACTACTCATTAAATACTGTCTACTAATGAATTTTTTTTAATATGAATACACTAATATTGGCCATACTGACTAATTAACTGTCCTTAATATTCTAATATTGACTGACTAACTGAATTACTCTACTTACTAATGAATAATAATCTCCTCAAAATCACTATTTATTTAGAGTATTTATATCATTTCAATGTTCTCGAATAATCTTGAAAGAAAATATATTCGAATTGTTCTATTTCATAGATATTTGAATGTTCGCGAATATTCTACTATATGGCTCACTCAAATATATTCATAACATCATAATTATTAAAATAACCAAATACATTGCAAAATAAAAACTATTTTTGAAGTAAATTTGGTTGCCTATTTAGATGGCGCACTCAAATATATTCTTAACATCATAGTTATTAAAATAACCGAATACATTGCAAAATAAAAACTATTTGAACTTATTATTATGCTAATTTCTTAAGAATGCCCTCATATAAATACTTTTTATAATATTCTCTAGTATATAACTTATAAATTATTTCTTTAATCACTATTTAAGTTCAATTTAGATTACCTTCGTTTCTCCTATATTTAATATTATCTCAATATATATATATATATATATATATATATATATATATATATATATATATATATATATAATGTGAGTGTGCATATATAAAAAGAAAGGAAATGTAGAAAACGAATCTTAATATACTTGATGTTGTTTTTTAGGACCCTTCCAATGTTTAGACAAATGCTAGCAGGTGGTTCAGCAGGATTGTGTCAAATAGTAATTACAACTCCCATGGAGTTATTAAAAATTCAAATGCAAGACGCTGGAAGGGTTGCTGCGCAAGCTCTCTTAGGTAAATTATTTATTTATTACTATACAATTATTAAAAAGTTTTTTCGGACTAGGCATTCTACTTGCCGTTTAGAATCAATAATAACAAACAAAAATTACCTTAAATAATCGCCAAAGGTTTTCTGGTACAAAATGGCAAATGCCGATATGCTTGCAATGCCCAAGAAACCATTTATCATTTTATTGAATATCAGGAAAGGCATGATTCTATAACTAGATTCTATAGATTCTTAAACTTTAAAGATAATGGAACACTACTCAAATATTCAATATACCTTTTATAAAGTATTTTTTACTAAAATTGTCTCCTTTCATTGCCGGAACAATTCGATATAGATACAGCAGATAGCAGCTACTGAAATGGCATCCAGTGGATGGATACTTCATCCCATTTTTTCGTTTCCATTTCCAGTTTTTGTTTACTATTTTTATTCTGATCTGATTCTGATTTATTCCGATTTAATTCCTTGATTCAGCTCAATGTTACCCGTGGGATAATCCACAAAGCTATCTAGATAAACAGCAGTTACCTAAGTGGTAGTACCTAACAAAAATCATCTGCGTGTTAAATACAATGAGACAATCGTCAAATGTGGAGAGAGATCCTAAAATAAAAATAAGGAGGCAACACAGAATCGAAAATATCCAAACGATACCTATAATTCTCTTAACTGCTGTGTCATTCCAAATAGCCTTTAACTGAACACCAAATTTCTTGTGCCACAACGAATGTGTGGCACATCAGATGCTTATTATAGTTGTAGACGGAAAGACTGATAATTTGTCATTAGTAATGATACCCAATACAACAACAAAGTTAATCATGACGTGTATCGGCATTTATTTTGCGTTTATTCTTTATTTGTACTTTTCTATATTTGTACTAATTATTACGTGTATAATTTTATTTTAGTTGGTAAGACTGTTCAGAAAACGTCCGCAACCGAATTGGCTATTGGATTATTCAAAAAACATGGTATTCTTGGATTGTACAAGGGTACTGGTGCGACTATGTTACGAGATGTCTCATTTTCTGTGATATATTTTCCTTTATTTGCTACTCTTAATGATTTGGGTCCTCGAAGAAGTAAAGATTCCAGTAAGTAGATGTTCTGTAAATATTTTTTTATGATAACAAATTTCTTTTATTTTGTGATTTTTCTTTTTGTAGACGAAGCAGTATTCTGGTGTTCATTCTTGTCTGGCTGTGTGGCTGGTTCTTTCGCAGCTTTGGCAGTTAATCCATTCGATGTTGTAAAGACGAGATTGCAAGCTCTTACGAAAGCTGAAGGCGAACGATCCTATACAGGAATAGGAAATGCATTTGTGTAAGTATATAAATACATCAATAGAAAATGGTTATATTTTTTAATCCATTTAGCAATTCCATAAAGCAAATAAATGCTGCCTGTATATTTTTTCTGATTACTTGTATCGCATAGAGTTCTCCTGATAATATAGTTGCAGTATCTGGAATTCTGTGTTTGAGAATCTCTGTGCTGTTAATTATTGCCACTCCGACTCAATTTTCAGTTTTAGACGCGTCTGTGTAGTATACTGTGTAATCGGAATGATATTTAATTAGATCTCTGAAGAGTTGTATGATAAGATTAGGATTCTTGCTATTTTTTTTTTTTGGAATTTTTTTCTAATGTTTTGGAAGGTGTTGATGCAATCTTTTAACGGTATAACTTAAGCAGTCAATTAGAATGCATTATACTGTCACGTAAGTATCACAAATTATGCATATTAGTTTCTCCTTTCTCTTCTCTTTTTAAAAAGTATTCGTAGGTTAGTGATGTGTGTCCTAGTCTGAGGTATGATATGAGGACTTAATGCTGTTGCTTTATATCAATACTTTTTCTTTAGCCGTTCTCTATCTTTTCGATATAGGCCAGTTCTTTTATTTATTTCCATTTTACTCTCTTTTGAGCTAGCCGGTACCAATTTTGTTTCGCTGTTCTTTCATCATTCAAGTCATCGTACCATCTTGTAACGGAAATATTGTACCTACCACATGGGGTAAGATTATGGGGGTAGAGAGAGGGCAAGCAAAATAATCGCTACTTGTGCGAACGGCACTCAGGGTTTGGTAGGAGAGCTGGGGTCGTGGATAAGTAAAAGATAAGGGGGTGGAATGGGGCAACTACAAAAAATGAAATAAAGGGGTCATTAATCTCTTGGGACAAATGAAATAAAAATAAACAGGAAACACCTCAAGGAATTTAATATAGGGCGCCACTTGAGGTGCCTAATTATACCTATTACAAACACTAGTTTTAACTAGGGAAATAATTATAAAACATCATATATAAAACATAAAACAGGTGAGGATAAATGTGTCATCATCACACTCATTAAATTCCCTATTAGTTGTAAAACAAATATACCTTACAAACCCAATGTTTCGAGCAATAAAAAATGAGTTAAATATAATTCAATAATTTTGAAAAGAAGTACCATCTGTGTTCCCTCACATGTGGGAATAGATGGAAATGAGAAAGTTTTCATATATATATATATATATATATATATATATATATATATATATATATATATATATATATAATTATTATAGGTATATATCGTTATATTTATAATTAACGATTCCTTTGAAAAATGTATATTTCCTAATGTGCCTAAAGACAGCCATTATTATTCCTCTTCATAAGGGTGGTGAAAAGTAGAATGTCTGCAACTACATACCTATTTCCTTCTTCTTCTTCTTCTTCATGTACCATGTCCTTTCAGAACGTTGGTTACCATCATAGCTATTTTAATTTTATTCACTGCCACCCTAAATAGCATGCTTGTATCTACACCATACCAATCTCGCAAGTTCTTCAACCATGAGGTTCTTCTTCGTCCTGGACTGCGTTTGCCTGCTTTGCTATTTCCTTACTACCGGTTATATCTAAAATTATTGAGAGACTAATAAAAGCCCGACTTATGTTATCACAAAGTCAGTTCGGCTTTGTATTTAATAAATGTACCAGTGATGCTATGTTTTCTGTACTGCATGAGGTCTATCAAGCACTTATTGAATAATCTTTACACTATAACTGGAGGAATAGGATTATATAACTATAATCTTACTCGAGGAATAGGAAACAACCAGTTAGAGCAAATGATACTGACTCTAGTCACAAAAGCATTGTATGTGGAGTACCACAAGGTTTGGTATTGGGTCCTCTACTTTTCCTTATCTTTAGAAATGACATCACTAACTTAAAATCGATGAATTTTTTTTTGTTTTAGCTGATAATACCAGTATTACCTAGAGGAACTCCATATATTTCAACTCTTAATATTTCAACTCCTCATGCAACTATAACTTCTGATCTACTTGGAATAAAAACCTGGTCCGACTCTTAATTTACTTTTTTTGACGTGGATAAGACAGTAACATTATCCTATAAAGGAGCTCTTCAAACCTTGCTTCTTAATAACAGCCAGACCAGTATCGTTGATTATGTAAGATTTCTTGGTATTTTTATAGACAGCAACCTTAAATGGCCCCTTCATATCGATTTGTTAAATAAGAAACTAGCCTCAGCCTGCAATGCATGGCTAAATTCGTGACCTTCCAATTATAAAATTGGCTGGTCCCTGGTCTTCCTAGCCTCTAAGGCACACGACGTGGCACGATGCACGAGGTATCGTGGGGCTTCAGTCTCCCCGTAGTACCTTGCATGACTTTGCTCCCCGGGGCGGAATAGTGACGCAGGCAGAGGAATTCTGCCTCGCACGTAGACAGGTTGCCGCCGAGGATCTCTCCTCTACCACTCTTAAATCACCAAGGTACGTGCCTCGACACCCCTAATGGTGGTGCGGGCCGAAAGAGGTGCTTACGGGCTCAGCTCGTTCAACCTCACCTGGCTCTTGTGGAATGAGAGTAGAGTGGTCCCACGAGAGCCTCGTCTTGGATACTAGGAGTGTAGACCGGTGACCGTGACACCTAAGCGCCTCGAGTGCCTTTGTACAAACCCGACACCTTAAGTGACGGCTCTCCACCTCTCAATTCCTTCCCATTAGTCGGCTTCGGCCTCGGTCGTATTCTTATCTCCGCGAGCGACACGGAGAGCGTGCTATGCAATCGAAAGATCTGTTTCGAAGGAAATTGATTTAGCATCTTCCAAAGTAACATATTTTTCCTTGTTCGAGTCTCATCTTCGATATGGCGTTTCTTTTTGGTGTTCTAGTGCAGCTGCCCAATCTGATGTTACTTTTTAAATTACCAAAAAGAGCAATACAGGATCTTTTTGGCCTCAGTAGAATAACACATTGCAGAAGCTACTTCAACTCAGTACTTTATACAGGGTGAATATACATAATATATTTTATGTTTCAGGAATATTCTGAAGTACGAAGGTCCAAAAGCATTCTTCAAGGGTGGCGCGTGCCGTATGATTGTCATCGCACCCCTCTTCGGCATAGCGCAAACCGTATACTACCTCGGCGTGGCTGAATACCTAATGGGCTACCATCGAGGCTAAACTTTTAATAGAAACCAATAATTTTTAAAGCAATTTTAAGTAATAACGCAAAGTCTATTTATTTTATTTAAAAACAATTATTTTTATTGTAAACTTCGGTATTACTGTTTTTGTTAAAACGTTTATATTTATAATTGGAAAAAAAGTTGAAAAATATTTCTCATGTGATGTTATACAGTATATTTTATATAAAAGAATCTCCTAAGCCTAAACATATTTATTTAATTCCAGCAAATATCCAGATATCTTTAGTGTAAGTTTTTTAATCACTTTTTGTTAGGTCATATCATTGATTCTACTATACTATAATAGTCTTTGTCTATCTCTAGAATCTCTTCATTAAATATACTCCCAGTCTGTGTTTTCCTCATATCGTTTCTGCTTTTAACTTTTGTTTAAGCGTATAGTTATAAAGAAATGAAACTTCTGCCTACACTTAAGAAATATTTTTCGCTGTTTTGTAATTTTGTGATTCTGTTATACCATTTAAGCTTATATATAGAAAATAAAGACGTACAATACTCGACAAATACCAAAATTGTTCACAAATAAAAGTAGATAAAATTATATACAGCTTGAACTTGGAGATAGTTGATTTTGTAAAGATTTAACTGATTGAGTCAATCAGTATTAAATGTTAAACATTTGTTACTGTGCTGTTATTATTTTTTATTATTTTTAAGCAATAAAGTAGATTTTTTGACAGGTTTTATTTGTTATGTGGCCGTGTCTATACACGTGGAAGATATTTACTGCGAGTTTTATATATCCCGACCTATGGCGGTCACAAAATGCCAAACTCACTTATAGCGTTTGTACGTCATTGACAAGATTTGAAAATCTCAATATTATTAAACAAATTGAAATATGAAATTTTACAAGTAAAGTAAATATATTCACTTGAAAAGTTATACCAAATGTAGATCCGAAGATTTATTCTGGTCCTTCAAGTGTATGTCAAAGTTGGTCAGATAGAACAAAAACCATCAGGTTGGTTTAAATCACCAAATCTGCTTATAGGTGTCATAATCTTATTTTTTCTTACTAAACACTGTCAACAATGACCACAAACTGATATTACAAATTCACTTATACTTCATCTAATTTAGATAACGACTTACGTCATTATCTACGTCAGAGATCGAAGTTGACATACTTGCCAAAGTATAAAAAAATCCTGACTCCATTTTAAATCAAATTGGTAACATAATTATTGCAAAAGTATTACCATCTCTTTACAACGACTATTTAAATTCTTACGTGACATTTTTGAAATAAAACACACTAATTTTGTTCTAAAAAGAACAGATTTTATTAAATAGGTAAAAATATAAAACAAGAGGTATTCACTTTAAAATTTAAAATAATAAAGTACAAAAAGTGTAAACACCGCAACTGTCAAATAAGTGTTACCAATTTATGCCAAAATTTTACCTTCGTTCGATTACAGTTACAGTGTGTTCCGAACAAATGTTCTTGATAAAAACTCTTTATAATGGATTTATACAAATTAAATGAAACATATTATTGTGTATTTCTTCAAGTTAACATTAATAGAAATTTTTAAATATTATTTCAACGCGTATATAATAAAATATGTCTAGTGGCTGTAATGCCAGTGTACTCGGTAAAGTGATTCTAAAAAGAACACACCTAAACCCTAAATATTTCGTGTTGGTATCATATGACGTCACAGGCTATGACGCCGATGACGTGCATCGTTATATAAATTAGATGAAGTGTATATAGTTATACGTTAAGTATACAGGCCAGATAGAAAAATTCGGTCGTATGGTTCGGCAGGTATGCGAAATTTGGAGAATGACGATTTTCAAG